AGTTATAGATAGTTGGAAAGTCTTCCACTGGTCCGGGCGTGTGAGGGGCCCGACCGCTCCCCCATTTTTTTATTATTACAGTTATTCTGTAATTTACTATTAAATTAACATAACTTCCTAGTTACATGAATTATGAGTATAATTCATTAATTATTCTTAATCCTTAAAGATTTATCAATCATCTTTATTATTTAACTCCTATCATATACCAATTAAAGAACCTTTTGGTTATTACACACACAACGGGTCCTACATTACTAGACGATCACACATTTATTTATCTGGCCAGATGATCAAGTGTTCTACTATAAGATCTGTTCAATATTAAGTGTTTATTGTAAGGGTTTATATGATTCATAGGATGTTTGGGGTGTATAAGGCAATATAGGTATGGGATTATATTGAGGATGTTAGGTCATTCTTTAGGGTAGGTTTTCATTAGATTTTCATGGGATTTCATTAGGTAAAGCCTTCGTAGGCTTTTCTTAGGCTTTGTAGGTTTTCCATGTGTAGGTTAGTTTAGAAGGTAGTTATTTTATATAAGGGGTGACACATAGGAAAAGGGGGGACCATCACAACGTGTACCTATCAACTTTCTCACCGTCAATTTGTTTCGTCAAACTTTCGTCTAAAACTATTTTCACATGCACGAGTTAACCATATCATGCCCTTTCTTATTTGTATCGATACTTTCTTTCAAATAAAGTCAAAAACAACAAACGCGCTTTGCCAGCCCTACTCATATTCGATTCGAAATTCTCATTTTTTTATTAGACGTATTTAAATTTATAAGACAATGTTTGTATAGTATAAAATAAATTAAATGTACCTACAATTTTTATGTATTTTTATTACATATTCACTGATAGGTATTAAGAGCTCATAGAATAATATATGATAAGGCCGCCTTTTGTATCATTTCTTATTACAGTTAAATGTATTTACTATTTTAGTGTAAATAAATAAATAATTTCAATATGAAGGTAGTTCTGGATAGTCGAGTCTTAGATGGATAGATACTCTTTATTATTTCTCTCAAAAGATTACAGTCGTAGATTTATTATAAATAGATACAAACGATTTCAAGAAATGTTCACACTATGAAAACAATGGGCGGCCTTATCGCTAAAAGCGATCTCTTCCAGGTAACCTTTGGATGTTGGATGGATGGAGAGGAGTAGTTATAAACAGTTTGATCGGAGGCAGGATGAAAATTCTGTTATTTTAAATACATATAGAGATGAAATATATGCAATAATATAAATATATATATATATCTACTTATATACATACATAAAACACAAATTTATAAAATTTTATGACAATTTGCTCATATAAAAATTCTGAGTGTGTGTTCATCATGTAAACTTAATATCATTGTATCAGCCGTTAACTGACCACTATTGGATATAAGCCTTCCCCATAAGGGAGGTTTTGCTAGTAATTGCCACACTTGGCAGGAGGGTTGGCAACCATATTTCGACTTTTGATGATGTTTTAAGAGAAACACTGCTGCCCATCCCTCCACCATAAGCTCCCATAGTCGCCTCTTAATATTACCCACCGCAATTATTTCTTTTTCTCTGGATGCCATACATCTTATATAATAATATATAATAAATCATCTCTTAGAATTCAAAAGTCAAGTTAAAACTTCGCGACGCCAATAAAAAAGTTCTAAAACTCCCCCGAAGAGTTCTTATGAAAATCTTCCACGTACTGTTTAACATTGAAAACATGTTATTTATTGCGAACGCATTACACGAGCGCGCATAAAACTCGGAAGGACCTACTTGTAAAGATTGCCGCGGGATGCTGCATCATAAACTTGATGGTATTAAATCACAAACCCCATTTACTGTACCTAACCAATCACAAAGAGCTCTCAGGCCCTTTTTCTTGGCAGCAATTTGTACGCAGGTGGCAACTCGCGACATATCCGTGAGGGATCAAATGTCGCTGGTAGTTTCGAGGCTTCAACGTAAAAGCCCTCGATGTTTCAAACTTTTAGCAACTATGTCGCGAATTGTCGTCTTTAGTAAGCCATTCTTGGCAGCCGGGAACAGCTGAGTGCCTAAAAGTGACCCTTATAACACTCCGCCCGAGATTTGTAGCTTTTAGTGTCATATACACTGCTATTAAAGTATTGCGTGAACGTTAAAAGATCGTTAAGAGACTATGTCCAGAAGATATCAATATTGTGAGATAACGCTAGTATTTACTGGTAGACTACTTAGTATAGACTGCTTTTATAAAACCTATTCATTTATATATTTTATATACAGCTATACAGTTTATATGTCGTGTAGTCCTGACATAGTATATGCCACCCAATACATTCTCGTAGGTGTCATAAGAGGCGACTAAGGGAGCCGAGGGATAGGTAGCAGCGTCCCTCTTAAAACATCTCTGCCATGGGTGATAACTACTGACAAAACCCCGCATGGGGAAGCTTTGTTGAACATAATCTAGTGGATAGTTAAAGTGGACGATACGGTTTATAACTACGAAAACTGTCCAAAAGTTTACCCAAATTCTTCAAGCCCGATTCACTATTCTCCAAAAATTTCCCCTTATTCATCTCTTCCAAATTTTTCTTTATTTTTACCCAAAGGTGTATTAAGTTCAAAATTGGTGATAACGTAACCACGTTATCACCAAGTTTGAACTTATAAGGATAGGATAGGATTAATTTCCTTATTCTACATTAATTTTGTGATAATTTTTGTTTCAATTTTAATTTTTGTCTTTTGCGAACAAACTGAACTGTGTAATTTTTGTATTCTGTGCTGAAGCACAAAAAGCTGCTTGTTGAGAAAAAAAATCTACATGTAAACGCGATTTCGCGTTCTGAATTCAAATATTTGCAATCTAATTTGTGGGGTAATGAGCTTGTTCTATATGTTGGATTTTGCTACGAATGTAGGTAAGTATAATAAAAACATCTTAATTTGTACCCGTGCGAAGCCAGGGCGTGTCGCTAGTATTTTACAAAAGTAGGTATCACACCCGGCGAATATTTTACGCTTTTATTTTCCACGTAAAATATTGGATTGTTTTGTTCCAGGCGGTAAATTAATAAAACAAATAGCTGAATGGTGCGGATGAACCGAAATATATTGAGGAATATTGTGAATTGAATGCAACATTTATTTGTACAATGTATGTAGCTGTTGAATTTTAACAAAAATCTCAAAATACGAGCTGTGTTTCGGTTTGAAGAGTGAGATATGACAATGAAATTACAGGGTACAGAGACGTAATATCTTAGTCCTCTGGAATGGCAATGCATGAAAAGTATTATGGGTGATACAACATACTCTGTTATGTCCATTGTACTGTTCATGCCTATAGGCGACAGTTAACATTCTCCATCAAGTGGACCATCAGCTTGTTTGCAATTCTAAGTTGCATATATGAAACAAATGGCTTTTATGCACTCCAAAGACTTGAAAATTATTTCGGTTTGAAATAAAATTCCCAATATATATAATAATTAAGCGATTATTAATATATTATCTACTTTGAACTGTCCTCGTAATTACAAGCCACAAAATAAATATTTTATGAGGGCTTGGGTAATACATAATACCTACACAATCAACAGTCTTAGTTAGGGTTTGCTCACCTAACGTGTTCTTGAGTACTTTAGGATTTTGCGCTTGACATATCTAAGATACGAGGTTTTGAACTTTTATGTTTATAAGGTACTTTCCTATTATTCAGAGTACTTAAGACCTTGACTTTATTTTATGGCTTGGATTGCCAAACAAGTAAACCTACTTGATGGAAAATGGTAACTATCATATCATAGACATAAGTAGCTCCATGGAATTCACAGAATACAATGTAACAACCATGTATTCTTCATGGGTTACCAATTCTGAAGCAATACATCAAGAGTCATTGCATATACATTAGAAATGAATGCGGTAATAAAAAATCCACGTACCTAGCTATCATTAATGGAAGCCAATGAACCATAAGAAACTAAACAGCGAAATTTAATTAAGCTAGTTTATGATGATGTAAGATGTGAGAAGGAAATTGGTTTTAATGAATATCATTCATCCATGTTATTTTATTATACAATTTAGAATGGTCAATAAACATTTGATGGAAATTGATAATCATATTGACTTGAGAAGTATCATGGATAATACAGTTAATGGTATTCGTGACATCTCTCATATGTAATTAAGTCTCTTGCGCCGAAGATTGAAAAATAAGGCGTAAATAAAAATAATAATAAATATTTTTTATATTTAAGTAAACTTAATTAAATGCATTTTAGAATAGATATTTTTTTGATAAATCTACCACCCAGTCCGGAAAGCAAAAAAAACTTGGCTGTTGCTTTGTTCTTCAAATTAAAGGTGAGTTAACAACGAAAATGTGAATGGATAAAATGACTTACAAAAATTTCATATTGATAAAAAGAAAGAAAATAAAAAAAAAACTACAAAGCTACAATCAGTCACAGTATTCTTGAATAGACCAATCTCTACACAAGCATCCGTTCACGAGTATGACAGATGAACCAACCATCGTTGTGTAAAACCTTATTATAGGGAGCCCAACGACCCGTTCCATTTTCGATTGTTTAATTTGAGCTCGTCATCATTTCGGCCGTTATTTATTCACTAATGAATATAGTAAGACTTCATATAGTGGCGTGAAGAACTGCTCTGAGCCTTCTACATCCATCGACTTCTTATGACATATTTGAGATCATTGCTTTAACTAGGAGAGTCGGGTAATGGATCGTTAGTTTAGTAATAAGATATAGAAGCTTTACAGCTAACAATTTAGACTGTCCTATTCACTAGCTTGCGATGCCTATGGAAATCATCGTGGTTAATTCTTGGTGAATGCGATACGGTAAGTCAATTGATCTTTTTCCTCACCTGTCGTTACTTTCTGATACCCCTTCAGTGTAATTATTATTTATATAAAAAAACATACTTTCAGCAGTCAGATAAAAAAGTAAATCAACTCACTGTTCTTGTCAAGGACAGCAGCGGCATTGTTGTTCCTGATGATGACATTCTTGGTCGGCTTCTTGACTTTGCTGAGCACGTCGGAGAGGCTAATCTTGATCGGTTGGGGCTTCTCGGTGACTTCGATGACAGCGCTGGAGGCCACTTCGGACCAGTCAACGTCCTTTGCGTCTTTACCGCGCGAGATGCCGCGGAGTTCCTCCCTGAATGACGGGAATTATATAGTAAACAAATCTGTTCTAAAACATTCATAAAAATGAACTTTCGTAACAATATTGAAGTGGCAGCCATATTGGATTTAGTGTGCTGTCATTAACTTTATCGATTTCTACTTTTCAAGCCTTTTCATTTGATGTTGGTAAGGATATTGAAAAACATGATCCGCCATTTTGTAATGGCGGCCATTTTAAAAATATTATAATGTTACCTAAGCAAACGACTTAAGTACAATGTCTCCCTCTGGTAATAATAATAATTAAGACTGTGTTCCAAAAAAAATTCTACTTCAATTCTAGCATAACTAGTTATTTTAATTTCAAAACTAAATTACTGAACAGATTTTGATAAAATTTCTATGGAACCACTCTGTAAATATATCCTATTAATTTATAAGTATATCCTTTCACATAAAAAAAAAAAGAATTTTCCAAATCGGTTTACAACTAACGGAGTTATAACGTAATGAACATAAAAATAAATACAAGCGAATTGAGAACTTACTTCGTTTTGAATTCGGTTCAAAAGAGCTTTTGTATAAGCCTACTTAAATACAAAAAAACTTAAAATACAATTAGGCGCAATCTGGGGTGCAGATGTTCCGATTTTAACGGGACTTCTAACCGTTTCCATAATTCTCGGGGTCTAAGATTAATATAATGCATTTGGATAAAAGTTGGCGAACAGCTGCGCTTGCATGGCTGTGATTCGATTTGAAGAGTGGTAGAGCGGTGGAGGATACGACCGTAAAACAAGTACCTACGTTTTGCTTCGTAAATTAAAAACACAATTGCTCTGCGAAAAATAAACTATTTTTATTAATTATCTGTTTTTTAAACATTACTTTTAGTGATATAAGGTAGCTAGAATTTTCAATGACATCAATTTACATAGACATTTTGAACAGAGCAACATCATAAATTATATTACAATTACAGATTAAATTAATTTCACAAATTACAATACTCACAAAAAAAAAATTCAACAATCAGTCCCATTCATGATGCGTACCCGACCCAAAGGTCCCCATGACACTTGCGGCATTTCCGCGTTGGATTGCCAGAGATATCCTTTGAGCCAGATACGAACCAGAACGGCGATCATGGCCGAAAATGAAAAGACAAATCAGTTGGCCTATCGTGATGAATTCAATGATAAATTAGTCACGATAATTTCCAGGGGGAACCGCGTGGAGGTCGACCGAGGTCGATAAGATATATTGATAGCGATGGGGACAAACCTCCTTATTACTAACAATCCCATCCACCCAGTTGACCAAGGGTGGGCGAGGGATGGACAATATAAGAAATCTTATATATATATATATATATATATATATATATTCTAATTATATTGCCTTTGGCAACTACTGGCATACAATATATTCAGCATTACAGTTAAAGGCTGATATGATGAACGGAAAATGAGCGTCACGGTGTATTGTATTGTATATGTAATGTCATAATATTATATCAACCAATAACTGCCCACTGATGAACATAAGCTTCCCCCATAAGGGATTTTGCCAGCAGTTGTCAAGTGTGGCAGAATGGGAAATAAGCTAACGACCCACCTGATGGAAAGTGGTAACCGTCGCCTATAGATATGAGCAGTACCATGGACATACCAGAGTATACTGTTTCGCCCATGATACCCCCTATGCGTTGCCATTCCTGAGGACTCAGGTGTTATTCCTCTGTACCTTGTAAATTCACGCCATATCCCACCCTTCAAACCGAAACACAGCCATGCAAACACAACTGCTTCACAGTAGAAACACGAATGGGACAGAGGTACCCAAGCAATCGACTTTTGTACAAACTCTCCCTCGACCATTATGTTCCCTTAGTCGCCTCTTACGACAACCACGAGAAAGGAGGAAGTAATTCATTTTATGTAGTGACCATACGACATTGAGTTCACCCTTATACTCTACAGCCTAAATGGTCGCGTACAACGCGGTTTCAGAGATGTTTTCTCAATGAACACTCAGGTTATGGAATAACAATGGGACTGAGCGAGGTTTTCCCAAGAGACTACAGCATGGGCATCTTCAAAAGGGGTAAAGATGTTTAAAGGGTCGGCAACGCGCCTAATCCCTCGACCATTCAGGCATTCATAGGCTTACGAACCACTTACCTTCAGGTGGGCTGTTAAAAAATTTAAGTATATTATAATTTATTTAATAGAGATTAGTATGTAAATGTTAATAAATCCTTACCTTATAGCTCCGATGAGTGGGTACTTGACGTCACCTCCACAAACACTGCCACTGAAGTCGTCCATGTCCACCGTCCACACCATAGCACCACCAAACCCATTGTCCTTGATCCACCTATGAACATTAGTGAATGAATGAATGAATGGTTTATTTTCTCTTCACAAAAGGTATAAAGTGACAACATTACAATTTGATATGAAGACCAATTAAGAACTGGTGCTTGCGGTAGGTTTAGAAGAACCTGTGTTACAAGTCACCAGTGCCCCATCTCCAATTAGTGTTCAAATAATGAAGGTCAACATTAAAAAAAAGATATTTTTAGGATTTTTTCCCCTTATTCATAAAAACTAAATCGTCCTACAAGTATTATATTATCTGTGGTCCTATTAACCTATTTGAACTATATTTTTAACTAAATGTTTGGTCTAAAAACACATCGTTTGCGTACGTCATGAATTTAAAAAAATATAATTTCCAAAATTATATTTTTTTTTTAAAAACATGACTGATCGAAAATAAATCTTTTGTGCTGTTGTAAACAGATGTTAATAAAATTTCTATGGACGATTGTCAATACTGATGGTAGAGAAACGCTGGATCAAGTGTGTTGAAATAAAGGGAGATTATGTAGAAAAAAAAAATAGTTTTTTTTTTTACTGAAAATCGCAGTCTTTTTTTGTTCAGGCCGAAAATTTTTGACCTTACCCTCGTATATGTAAAAAAGTATATCTATATTAAGTAATGATAATTTAAAAAGCTTGGAAATAAAGATAAAGCTTACCTCATCTTGTTCCTAATAGATTTCTCATCATCGAAACCAACCCACTGATCACCGTGGATAGCATACGGCACTTTCATCTCATCGTCCCACACATAAGTACCACCGTTGCGTAGTATTTCGCAAACCTGATGGGATATAAAACAATTTTCGTTAGGTTTTGATAAGCTACGGTAATCGCTTGTAAACAATATTATATTATAGATAATTTATATTAGTTTATTAGAGGTAGTTTTCTTTTTCTTTTTTAATTTTATATTCTTTTTTTTTATATAACTATTGTGTGTAGTTTCGTTGTTATAATTCTTAATATATTTTTTTAACCCCTGTGTGAGTGTAGTCGCATATTTCTGTAGAATAAAGTTTCTTTCTTTCTTTCTTCTTTTTTTTTCTTTCTTTCTTTCTTTCTTCTTTCTTTCTTCTAATTTATAAATTTAAATATAATAGATACACGAATAGAATAATTTATATTATCGCTATAAAATCTCCATTTTAACCGCCATCGAACGTCCCACTGTTGGTGGTTGGTCTATAGAGAAGGCCTATGTTCAGCAGTGGACAGATAATGGCTGGGATGACGATGATAATGAGTGGATAGAGAAAAAATATCTGTCTCGGGAGCGAAGGTGTAGCCTGAATGGAACATCGAAATAAACCACATTGGAAGGAGAAAGGTTTGTAGATATCCGATCGATATGGGTGATATCGAATTGAAAAATCCAATATATAGGTATTAGATCGGTATTCATATTATCCAAGCCTAATGCTTACACAACAAACAAGATAGTGTTAGGTCTAACTTAATGTTTGGTACTTAGGATATTTATTTTTACATTTAAAATTATATTTTAGTATTACAGCGAAGTTAGTATTTTAAGAACCAATATGAACTAATTTTCAAAAGTAGTAAAGTCGTGTTTTTTTTTTATAACAGAGCGGGCAAATGTACATGATGCTCACTTACTGGTAAGGGATTACCACCGCCCATGATCACCCCCAAGATCAGAGGCATTGCTGTCGATATTTTAAAAACGAATATGCTCTTTTCTTGAAGGTTATGATTTCAGTTTGTGATACTCCATAAAATAGTGATTTCGCAAAATTATCTTTGTTTTTTTTATACAACTTAGAATGGCAAACAAGCTGACTGCCCATCTGATGGAAAGTGGTAACCGTCGTCTATAGACATGAGGTGTCTATTTAAAATATTAGTTTAAGAGATATGTTAAGAACGTAAATAAACATCAGAATCTTCTCAAATATGTACTATTCAGATAACTCCCAGAATGAATTAAAAATCGCAAATTTCAACAGAACGGAATCTCAGTAATCTGTTCTAGAGATTATAACGAAATACCACGTGGGATATGTGCTCACTGTCTTGTGTGTTGATCCTTCATGTAATATTTTCAAATTAAAATTACCTCGTAATAAGCTAGGAAGCCACCCTCCTTTGTGTATTCGCCCGCCTTGCCGCCCCCGCTGGCCGGGGAATTCACTTTGAAGTTGTTGGTATTAGACAGGGTGAAAGTACGGCCGTATGTAGGCATACCTGGAATAAATCAGTCTGTATTAATTCCTTTGCCGTTGTTTCTATGCTTGACAACGAGCCACTTAGTGGAATAAGAACATTTGGGGGTATTTAGAGAGAAATAACAAAATTATAGTCCAAGAGCCACTATATAGAGGCACGTTGAAGAATACAGAGGTATAAATTAAAATAGAATCTCGAATTATAGGTTTGTTTTATACAACTTAGAATGGCAAACGAGCTGATGGCCCACCTGATGGAAAGTGGTAGCCATTGCCTACAAATAGGAGCAGTACCGTAGCCATAACAGAATATACCGTTTCGCCCATGATACCCCCATGCGTTGCCATTCCTGAGGACTCAGGTGTTATTCCTCTGTAACCCGTAAATTCACTGCCATAATCCACCCTTCAAACCGAAACACAGCCATGCAAACATAATTGCTTCACTGTAGAAACACGAATGAGTCAAAGGTGCCCAAACAAACGACTTTCGTACAAAGTCTCCCTCTGGTAATCTTTACTAATGTTAGAATTACAAAAATAAGTTTGTTTTTATTTTTTATTATTACTTCGATTATTATAAAAAAATTTATACATGTAATATATAACTATATATGTATATATTATTTATTCAATATATTTATTCCATGCACAGTATAATTATATGCCGTACCCAAAAATATATATGTAATGTAGAAGGTTATAGGTTATTTTTAATCCCGGTCAGTATACATATCTCGGTCAAGTGGACGAAGTCGCGGGCAAAAGCTAGCAAATAAAAACAAAATAAGGAAAACTTGTAATATTACATAAGCGAACAATTCCGTATACCAAATTTATCACCGCAAAAGTCTTAATAGATTTTTTTTGTGTAACATTGCGTTCTACTTAATACATAATGTATTTATTGTCATGACCACGGTTCAGCCGAATCCGGGTTGGAGCGTCAGCAATAAAATCAGATATGTATGTAGGTACTATTTATTTATGAAATTTAAATATCCACAATAAATACTTAACTATAAAATTTGCTACCAGTATAGTAGATAATATAGTAGATCTCTCGAAAATTTTATTACTCAGCAGCTTTTGCCGTGCGTAAAGTTAGACAGTACACTGATACTGATACTGCTAGATTAGTCTATTTTAGTTATTTTCATAGTTTACTCTCTGATGGAATATTACTATGGGGAAAAGCGGCAGATATTAAGAATATATTCATATTACAAAAACGTGCCGTTCGAGCGATCTACTGTATGAAGAGTCGTGACTCATTAAGAGAGAAATTCAAAGAGGCAAATATTCTCACCGTTGCTTCTCAATTTATATATTCAAATATTCTATATGTTCATAAAAATCTTGACTTATTTCCAAAAAACAGCAATATTCATAATATTAATACTAGATTTAAAGACAAACTTGCTGTCCCCAAGTATCGTTTAGTTATTTTACAATAAGATAACGATCTACTATGTAAGTAGGTTTTTGAATTATGTAGGTAAGTAGGTATATAGGTGCCGTTCGAGCGATCTACTGTATGAAGAGTCGTGACATTAAGAGAGAAATTCAAAGAGGCAAATATTCTGTTCTTCTCAGTTGTCACTGTATGGCCCCGCCATAAAATAGGCCTACCCTTCCTTTCCCGTGGGTGCCGTAAGAGTCGACTAAGGAAAGGCGAGGGATGGGCAGCGTCCCTCTTAAAACATTTCTAAAAGCCTAACTGCGATTGCCAATCCGCCTGCTAAGCGTGGCAACTACTGGCATAACTCCCCTTATGGGGAAAGCTTATATATATAATAAATAGTAAATAACAATATTGATAATTCCTTATGTACTACGTTTCGAAATATATATATTTTTAAAAGTATATTTTGATTGATAATTAATATAGACTATTGATCGATAATAACTGTATATTTATTGAATTAATAAAAATTCTATATAAAATATTAGTAAGGATGACAACGTTGGAACGTTTTTATATCCTAAATGTTGTAATGCCTACCATCACGTAAGTATCCTAACTTAAAATAACGTACGAATATTGTAATGTCTACTATTACACGAATATCCAAAGCTAGAATAACGTATCAATATTGTAATATGTATATTACATAAACATCCTAAGTTAGAATAACTTAACAATGTTGGTTGTTGTATCGACTGTATGTCTATCATCACATAAACTTATTAATTAAAGATTAATGTACAAATGTTGTAATGTTAACAGTCGGTCGTACAAATATCCTAAGCTAGATTAACGATTCAATATTGTAATGTCTACCATTACATACATATCCTAAACTATAATAACGTACCGATGTTTTAGTCTTTCGTCGAATAAAATTATCCTAAGCTAGAATAACGAACCAATACTATAATGTGTATTGCCATATATTTTTATTGAATTGGACATTGTATATATGAGTATCGTATTCCATTGTATTATACAGTATGTAATTGATATTGTATTATGTAAATTTAAAGTATATTATTATATTGTCTTAATCTCTTATAGTTATTAATACTAAATTTTGTAAATAATTGTTAAAAAATTATAATTGTCCGTAGTGTGTTGGAATTTAATTATCTGAAAAGTGTAGGTAACAATAAATAAATAGATAAATATCTTAAGTTAAAATAATATATACATGTTGCAATGTCAACTAATTACATAAAAATCCTAAGCTAGAATAACGTACCAATATTATAATATTTGCTATCGCATAAATATCCTAAGTTGGAATAACGTATAAATATTGCAATGTCCACTACTGCCTAAGTTTGTAAGTTATTCTATCCTAAGTTATTTCATAACATACCAATGATAAGTTTCTCCTTAGGAGCTCCGAGTTTCACCCACAAATGAGCAGCATGGTCGACGGACAACTGTTTCCGCCATTCAGAATCTGAAGAAGGTGCGTACAGAGGTGCGTTGTGGCCAGTCTCCCTCTCCCATTTGCCATGGAAATCGTATGCCATGAGGTTGATGAAGTCCAAATAGCTGGTGGAGGAAAAATATTATTAGTACAAATCTTATATTGCGTGATGGAGTCAAGAGTCTCTGGTGTGTGCCTACATGGGATTTGATATGACAAATATATTTTGATATGCAAAAGGGATTTAAGCCATGAATAAAGACGTGTTTCGTGGAAACATGTCTTCTTGTGTCTCTCAATCCTTTGATCATCATCATTATCATATAATATTCTGTAGATTTTCAACCGACTTCAAAAAGAAGGTTCCTAATTAGGCTGTATGTTTTTTTTGTGATCTCATAACTCCATAAACTACTAATATAAACAGAGGGCCTACCATGAAATGTTTTCCGAAATTTCGGAGAAAAACGAAACAGAAATTTGATGTCAAAATTACATTATACATGCCGTTTGGAAATATTAAAAATGTTAAAATATTATTCCTTTGGACTTTTATGATAGGATCTATGACGAACGAAATGTTAAACTCCATTTATGGGTCCGATTTTGGTATAAACAAAAACACGAAATAGTCTTTCGATATAAGACCCGCAGATTTGGATTTTTTTCATTTTTCTTTAACTTTCTGATTGGTCCTAAATAAATTTTATCAAATTCAGTTCCGTAGTTTAGTTTTGAAAAAAAAAGACAGATTTTACCATAATCGAAATAAGTTTTTTTGTGGAAGGCAATTTTAATCTCAAATTATACAATAATTTACAAATACATTTGTTTAAAGCTACATTAAAAATAGCACATCGAGCGATGAGAAGAGCTATGCTCAGAATTTTTATGAAGTACACGATCCGGAATTAGGAAATTGGATATTAAACTAAAGAGGTTGATATAATTCTACAAAGTCAACGGAAGTAAATGGAAGGAAGTTCTTAGGATAGAGGCCGCATATAGAACGATGGATTATGGGCGTCTTTCTAGATGGATCGTCGATCCATCTATAAAGAAGATAGAAGCAAACAGGTGCAAATGTTCGAGATTTTCACATGGTGAAGGGTATTTTTATGTAACTTGACATGGTAATTAAGGTAATGGGCTACTTGATGGCAATTGCGTAATGACATTGGAGAAACCTAAAAAAGAAGACCTAGATGGTAATAGATAAATACAGAATACGATGATTATGAAAGTTATAATTTAAACTTTCCAATAAATATATTTTGCTAATTACTAAATAAATTTTATTATAGACATAATGATTTTTCAAAAAATCAAAGTGCAAATTTTAAAGCTTTTGAACAGTAGAAATTCCCGAAAATACTCAGATTGTGCAATCAGATCTTTGCCAAAGTTTTCGCTAAGGATTATACTATGGGGTTTTTAAAGGCGTGTTAAAGTTTCTTCAGGGTTGGCAAAGCACATGTGATATCCCTAGGGTTACAGGCATCTATATGGTGCAGTGAATGTTTACCATCAGATGAACCTTATGCTGTTTGCTATTTTATTTATTTATTAATTAAACACAAATTATATACAAAATAAGTACATTGGATCTCTCACTAAGCGAATCTGTATTGCGGGAGTTCATAAAGTGATTACAAAGTCACGATGTTTTCATGTTTTTTTTTTTTTATTTCTGTGGTAAAAAAAAAAAACATATTTTATTTAGAATTCTTAAAAATTTTCTCTTTGACGTTATTGATGGGAACACAGCCGTGCTCTATGACTCGCAAACATAAACCTTCCAACTAAAACTAAATTGCGTAAAAACTGCCTACACGCGTAATCCTTTGTTGTTTCGTGTGCAAAGAGAAATTATTGTAGCGTGAAAACACTTTTAACAATTCCTGATTTTTTTTATTAATACATTTTAGTTCTTTATCGTATAATCATAAGGTACAATTTAGAACAAATCGTTCCTGTAGCTGGAAATGTGAAAAGGCACTTAGATATGTACATGTAAGTATTTTCCGTCCTAAAACTATTTTGTTCAAATATAAAAGTGAATAGTAACAGCAGTTTTTTACTCAGTTTATCTATTTAAAAAGGTAAAGAGACTAAGCTCATACAGCTGTTATTTTATATCTTGTTTTAATTTTTTTTAAATAATTTCCAAATATACATTTACAATGTTAAATTATTTTCCATTTTTTTTGACATTATGGACGCCACCTTTATTTTAAAATATCATCTACCTGTTTCTATATTTATTAAAATCTTAGATTATATACATAGATAAAGTGTCTCCACACAAATGGTTCGATAACAGGGGGTCAACTTTTTCATACAATTTTTTGTGATAAATAGTCGAATGATTTCTTTATAACTTATATATTTATTTTGTCTTATAATTTCTGCATATTTTGAATGCGTAAAAACTCATTATATTTATTAAATAATTATAGATGCGTCAAGGAACATTATGTGCGTAAGTATGTAGAACATTAATAAAAAACGAGTCAGCTAATTTGACAGCTGACAAAAAGTTGATCCGTATTTAAAACTCGATGCTCTGTCTATATAATCTAATAAATCAATATGTATGTATATGTATATATATAACAATGAGTAGGGATAATATTTATATTATTATATGTATTACATCTCCCATATCTAGAACTAACAAAATTTTTCATCGTGCCTCCTATCAAATTGTTTATAATTACTCCTCTCCATCCAAAGGTTGCCTGGAAGAGATCGCTCTTAGCGATAAGGTCGCCCATTGTTTTCTCATTGTGATTATTTCTTGTAATTATTTATATTTATAATAAGTTTACTATTGTAATCTTTTGGAGGAAACAATAAACAGTATCTATGTCTATGTCTATATGTCTATAAATACATATATAGTATATAGAATCAATAAAACTGTTTATTCTGCACTTTGTATTACCTTATTTAATTCATGGAAACCGCAAACGTAATTTGTACTATTATAATGGTAAAACATTACATCTTGAATTTAGAAATTTGTTTGACTAGACATTTTCCAGTGTAATAGCTAAGTAGGTTTTAAAATGTTTTCTCTCGAGACCTAAAAGAACTTTCACAATGTCATATTATGCTTAAGTACGAATACATTTAAAGAATTCAGTTTTTTTTATATATATATATATATTATTTCAAAAAACAAAGCTCTAATTTAAATGAAGTTGCTAAATTACATTTGGTACTTTTACTAATTTAGAATGGCAAATAAGTTGATAAATTATTGAATGGAAAAAGGGAATCGTCGTCTATATATAGGTATGAATAGCACCATGATAAATATACTGTGACGTCCGTGGTGCTTGGTAGGTTCATGTTTCTGCATTCCTGAGGACTGCAACTTCACTACCATATCTTACTCCTCAAACCAAACACAGTTGACTAGTTAGCAAGCATAACCGCCTTGCGACAGAAAGATGAATGGGACAGAGGTGCCCAAGGAGACGAGTTTTATCCAAAGTTTATTTTTATATCACTGAGGTGGTAAACAAGCATAGAACCCACCAGATGTTTAGCGGTTATCATAGCCCATGAACGCCTGCAATACCAGGAGTAAGACAAGCTCCTTGAAGAAACCTCTTTACCCCTTTTTTGAAGAATCCCATGCTGTAGACTCTTGGAAAAACATACACAGGGACCTTATTCCTTGACCTGAGCGTTCGTGAGAGATAACATCTCTGAAACTGCATTATACGCTACCATCCAGGCTCTAAGATATACAAGTGAACTCCCTGTCGATGGTGAACTGCACGATGGTAAAATATAGCTGTGGGTATCATATTGAACAATTGCTCTGAGCACAGTCCGTTGTTGCGGTATGATCCCGGCATAGAATAGGCCACCACTTCCTTTCCCGTAGGTGTCGTAAGAATCAACTAAGGGAGGGCGAGGGATGGGCAGCAGCGTCCCTCTTAAAACATCTCTGAAGCCTAACTGCTTGCCAACCTGCCTGCCAACTGGCAACTACTGGCAAAACCCCCCAAGGGGGAGACCCATGTTCAACAGTGGACAGTCAAAGGGTGATGATGATGACAAACGTAGTACAAATGGTAGAACATGCAGAGTGAGGCAAAATTTTTTGACCAAAGTCTCAGAGGGAGACTTTTGTACAAAAGTCGATTGCTTGGGTACCTCTGTTACATTCGTGTTTCAACCGTAAAGCAGTTGTGTTTGCATGACTGTGTTTCGGTTTGAAGGGTGTTATGGCGTGAATTTACTTGGTATGGAGGAATACCACCTGAGTCCTCAGGAATGGCAACGTTCATAGGTGCAACAGTATACTCTGTTATGTTCATGGTACTGCTCATGTCTATAGGCGACGGTTACAATTTTCCATCAGGTGGGCCGGCAGCTTGTTTGCCATTCTAAGTTGAATAAAAAAAAAATCTTCATACAATATGAGAATACGTATGACTTAAACAATAAGCGTCGAATATTAATGACAGTATATTTTGCAACGTCGTCGTGAGACAATATTTTTGGTCGCACTTAATTATTTATTTAGGTCAATATTTAAATACAAATGCCTTAATACAATTGTAGGTCAAACGGGTGGTTATTTTAAAACCAACTTAATTACTGATACAAATTGGAATTAATTTTGCTTGATGTTGAAATTAGAATATACGATTATGATTTTCACTGATAAATACTATTAATATACTCGTAAATGTAAGTTTCTAAAGATGTAAGGCTGGGTACAAACAAGCTGACGGTCCACCTGATGGAAAGTGGTAACCGTCGCCTATAGACATGAGTAGTACCATGGACATAACAGAGTATACTGTTTCGCCCATGATACCCCCCATACGTCGCCATTCCTGAGGACTCAGGTGTTATTCCTCCGTACCCAGTAAATTCACTGCCATATCCCACCCTTCAAACCTAAACACAGCCAAACACAACTGCTTCACGGTAGAAACACGAATGGGATAAAGGTGGCCAAGCAAACGACATTTGTACAAAGTCTCCCTCTGGTACAGTAATAAAGTACAATCTATTCAAATTTATTATATCTACGAAACTATGATAAAAACAATTAGAAATAACACAATAGCCCCAATTCACAATTAAAATACGCTTGATTGCGTGCGATTAAATTGTAGACGACAACTGACATAAACAAGCCATTACATTTTATGATGTCAATTTGTGGAAATAAATTTACTACAATGGCAACTCTGATAGCGAGAATGAGAATTCATTTGTAGTTAACTATCTTTTACCAGCGGCTCCGTTCGTATGATCGGGATAAATATCATCATAGTCGTAGAATACCGACGGATCTGACAAATATTGCATATATAGATCCGTCAGTATTCTACGACTATGACGAGATGTCCTCAATCCTATATGGTGCATGTATACTAAACTTCATAGAGATTGATTAAGTCGTTAAGGCGCTAAGAGGTAACAAACAAATTAATTTTAGTAAGGATGTGTTTATGTAATTATCAAGGTAAGTCCTCATTATATTAGTATATAACAAATCTACCTTTAAATATAAACTTGTAAGACATTTTTTTTTAATTTTTAAAATAATGTTTTATCATTAGAATTATGGCTGTACATACGTACACACGCGCACACACACACACACACACACACACACATATATGTGTGTATATATATATATATATATATATATATATATATATATATATATATATATATATATATATATATATTTTCCCTTACCTAGCGACAGCGGGTACGTCGTAACCGCTCTTTATGTTATCAGGACCAACTGGCACAGCAGCTGTGAGCAGCAGACGGGGTTTCTTCACTTCTTGTGCTTCGGCCTCAAACGCTTCGCGGAGTTCTGCGGAAGAAGTTGAAATTTAATAAATACTATGACAATGTATTGTGTAATAAGAAAATGTAACTAATCATTTAATTTATTTAATTTCTAAATTTGTGAAAACTAAAATAATAAAAAAATCGTTAACGAAATACCGTCCTCGAGGATCTGCTAAAGAAGCTATTCGCTTAACGATCGACCTTCTGCCATTTAAAAAACATAAAGTATTCGAATAAAAAATGATCAACTACCTTCATTACTGTAATTTTCTATATATTAAACAAAGATCATCTTTTACAGTTAATGCGAATTTAATAATATGTGAAACTCAGTTATTTGTCTGCACAGAGAGAGGAATTTAGAAAGGTTTCGAAGCCTCGATTTCTGTAGCAAGGACAACGCATCGTAAAATTCGTATAATAGTTCTAAAACGGTTGAACAATAGATTGAATTTGAAATTAAGTACTAAAATAGAAATATAATACTAACTTCTGTATTTACTGTGTAATTTAAATAATTTTCGCCTCAAATATTCATAAATACAGTTTCATTTTTTTTTATACCACTGAGGTGGCAAACAAGCATACGGCCCATCTGATGGTAAGCGGTTACCGTAGCCTATGAACGCCTGCAATACCAAAGGCGTTACGCGCGCGTTGCCGACCCTGAAGAAACCTCTTTACCCCCCTTTTGAAGAACCCCATGCTGTAGTCTCTTGGGAAAACTTCGGCAGGGAGCTCATTCCATAACCTGAGTGTTCGTGGGAGAAAACATCTCTGAAACCGCGTTGTACGCGACCATTTAGGCTGTAAGGTATGAGGAGTATCTTTGTAAATTCTAATACTTTTCATTGATAAATTTGAAAAAAGATGGAAAATGACAATATGGAGCTATATAGAGATTTTTTTATGTAACTTACAATGGCAAACAAGCTGGCGGCTCACCTGATGGATAGTGGTAACCGTCGCCTATAGACATGATCAGTACCATGGACATAACAGAGTATACTCTTTCGCACTATGATACCCCTCCATGCGTTACCATTCCTGAGGACTCAGATGTGACTGTAGTTTATGTGAACTCTTTAATAGACAAATAATCAGTTTATCATCAGGCTGGTCGTATATTTGTTTGTAATATAAACTAGGAGAGAATACTATATAGCATTAAATTCATCTTTTATATCAAACATTTTTTGTAATGTGGTCAATAAAGAGTAAATAAATAAATAAAGAAATAAGTAATAGTATCAAAAATAAATAAATAAATAGTGGTATAAAAAATAAATAAAATCTATAATAACACAAATATGGAAGATGTCTATATATAATCATAAAATGAAAAAGACTTCCGGATGAAGTCGAAACAATTGTCGGAAACGACAGACATAGTATGTTCATAAAATTTCCGTCAAAAAATATATGGAATTTCATGAACTTATAAAACACAATGAGTTCGTTAATTCTCTATTACTTATATATATAATAATCGAAAAAATAATGAACATAAGTTTTAAAAATAAGTATTACTTTATTTAGTTCCATATATTATATATCTCTTCACGAAATAAGGTGATCGTATGATGAAATAAAAGTGAATAACACTAGTCTTGTAGTAGAAAATGGTCTAAGAAAATATCACGATGTAAGGCTAGGTATCTAAGTCTAGAAAGGCTTTAGTATAGTTAAGATACTATCTGTCTATGTAGACGTATCTGAATATCCTTCAAAGAGATAAACCGGGTGCTTTTACCTCTTTGCTCTTCGTACTATATTCTCTTTGTTCGTATTACTAGATCATCGAATAGTAAATGTATTAAATTTATTTTGCTGAACTAGGTTTTATTTTGCGGAATTCCACACCACTGGTTATTTGATTAGAATTATTTTGTTTAATTCCAGTGTAATTATTGTTATTTTGTTTAATTTAATGTTTTTTTTTTAATCGGTGACAATGGAATGGTAACCCCACCCGTGCTATCGGTATACACCGGCGGGGCACCAGTGATGATGATAGGGGAGGATGAAGCAGGTCAGTTAGCCCATCGTGACGAATTCAACAAGAATTGTCCACGATGGTTTCCAGGGGGAACCACATGGAGGTCGACCTAATAGAGCATATTGCTAGCAATGGGGCTGTCAAACTCCATTGCTATCAATCCCTTTCCCCCCTTTAATTTAATGTTGGCAGTCGCATACATAGTTAGCAGAATTAAACAAAATAATTTTAATCAAATAACCAATATTATTCAATTTAAACTTTATACCATTTTTATATTATTATATATATATATATATATATATATATATATATATATATATATATATATATATATATATATATATATATATATATATATATATATATATATATATATATATATTATTTAGATCATTTTTATAGACAACCATATGTTGTGAAAATTTTATCAAAGAGCATGATAAGTTTAATATATTTTAACAAATTTGCTATCGATTTGCTCCTGGATATCTGAGGTTGCAACTAACTGGAAATAGGCAATCCGGATACATTATATAATGCATTATCTAATACATTATATAAAACATCTAATGGTTGCAGAAGTCAACGGTGGGATCTTACGCTATCAATAAATAAAAGATTTCTTTCTGTCAAGCTCTTAATTTTTTAAGATGTATAATAAATAAATTGCCGTGTGATCCCGGCATAGAATGGGCCATGTCTTTTTTTCGAGTGGGTGTCGTAAGAGGCAATTAAGGGTGTTTTGACTGGTGCCCATTTTAAAATATCACCAAACGCCAAAATGTGGTTGCAAACCCGCCAACCAAGCGGGACAATCAATTGCAAAATGGCCAATGGTATAAACTACCGGAAGGAATGGGCTCGTTTTTTATGACAGTCTATAGGGAAGGCTTATGTTCAGCTGTGAACAAACAACAGGTGTTGGTGATGATGACGATGATTACAGTAAAGATTGTCTTTCCCAAAAAAGAATCCAACATCATTTGTGACAAAACCAGTTAGTTTGATCAAAAAACTAAAATAATGAACAAATTACGATATTCCTCTTCTGTATGTATGTTCTTATCATCATTCGATGATGATTCATCAACAGTAATCATAAAAAAAAACCAATTTGATAATATTTCCGTTTAAATTCTTCTTTTTATTAGAAACGTTATACCATCAACGTTACAATCCCTTCGAGCACCGTTATTGAGAGTTCAAATTTAGCGTGAAAAGATTTCTTTAGCCAGTGCTAATCAAAGCTTTATTCACGGGGATATATCAACCGAAATCTTTTTACACACAGCTCTCCTTTAATATACTTTTATGGAGTTTCACAAATTCATGAATGAATATTCGTTGTGAGAAGGTAACATAAATTTTAGTGTATACATATAGGTTTTTTATGTTTATTGCTTAACTGTCACCAGAGGGAGACTGTACAAAAGTCGATTGCTTGGGTACCTCTGTCCCATTCGTGTTTCAACCGTGAAGCAGTTGTGTTTGCATGGCTGTGTCCATCCTTCCACCACTTAGTTGCCTTAGGAAAAGATGGCTCATTCTATGCCGAGACCACAAGATATAGTTAAAAAAGTATTTAATTTTAAAATTAACTTATACGTACTATTTAACATTAATCGCGTCGCAGATAAATTCGAAAGTGTTTAAAATTCGATAACGTTTGAGACATGACCATCAGCGTTGTTAAGTTACAAACGTACTAATGGAAAACAATATCAATTTAGAGGACAATTGACCTGGAGAAATGCTGGCTGAATGCCACAAAAGAACAAATAGCTACTGCATTCACTTCTACTACAGTCTACGTAATATCTTATTTTTAAGACTCACAAAACTTTTTAAATCACACCGTTAAATAGAATCGGTTTATCGTGTGTAAAAACGAATGGGTATTTTAAATTGTTTTGAATTTTGTGATTCTATTATACAATTTAGTGTTCTAACATAACTTTTAATAACACCTTCTGTTTAAGAAATGTTTGTATAGAAATTTTAGTTTTGAAATTAGATACTAGATGGCGTTATAATTATGTACGTGTCGCTACTAAGACTTTCTTATATTTGATTATTTACTCTAAGAGGCACTTTAATAAGTTTCCCTATCATTCCTATTGAAGTGATTGTTTTGTTCTACACCATTGATAGCAGATTTTTGACTCACGATACTTACTTCTCTGTCTTCAATCTCGATAATTTTAATATTTTCTTTCATAATACTTAGAATGGCAATACTGGATCGATATTCCTAATGATTTTTTTTTTATACCACAAAGATGGCAAACAAGCATATAGCCCATCTGATGTTAAACAGTCATTGTAGCCTATGGACGCCTGCAACACTAGGGACGTCATGTGATTTTAAAAAGAATTAGCGAAATCAGTGCTTTCAATTAGTATAAAGTAAGATATTCGATAACGTATGAAATATACGAGCCAATTAAGAACAATTTATATCGGATGTAAATTATTAGATCTGGTTCTAGACTTTCACAAGCATAGACTAAGTAAATAAGATAACAGTTATATGGGTTTTCCGTTGAAAAGCAACGGTATGCATATTTAGAAGATTGAGCTGTTATCGAAGTACCAGCAAACATGCTGACATTTGCGATTTGGATCTAGTTTCTAGGCATTTGAAGCACAACTTTATAACAAGTACGCTGACTGCATAACTTCAAGTAATGACGATAGTAGCGTATTGGTAAAACGCCATAGATATAAATAAATTCTAGATTTACATTGACATGCAAAAGTTACAACTAAAAATGACAAACTTAAATTTTTAACAAAATTTTACTTATGGATGTAAAAATGTATAACGAAAACACTGGATTCACTAGATAGATAGACACATATTATTATATAAAAGTAATAGCTTATAGTGTAACGAATTAAAGTATGTAAGTCGTTAGCTTATAGAACAAACTTGATTAATTGATCGTTTAATGTAAAATGTAATTGTTGAATTGTAATTAATGCAGTTGTGTTTGCATGGCTGTGTTTCGTTTTGAAGG